ATAATTTATTGCAAAAGAGGGACGAAAGATACCAGAGGGACAGTCAAACTCATTGATCGCAATAGTACATACAATATACCAGAATAGTCGTCTCATCTGTAAATATACCGATTGTGTCATAATTCCGATTACCCTGTCGACGCACACGGTATCCATTTGAAGTTCTTGCGATTCCCTCCGCTATTGTTGTTAACCCTGATTTGTATCACCTTAATGGATTTATGAGATTTGAATATCTGTAAACTATTGTTTATCCTTATCATACAAGCAGAACTGCATTGAAAATAATGGAGTAAAATATTTAAAAAGCAAAATGAAAATAAAAAAAAGATTTTTAGGTAAAAAACATTAGGGTATAAAGAAATAGTTGTAATCTGAAAGTAAAGAATAGCAATTAAAATTGTCGAAATATTAACCAAATCTGAAAAACAAAATGGTTCCACACTTTTATTTACATGTTGTTTACTTGATAGTCGGAAAATTTGTAAACTTCAAGTTCCAGACAATACATTATAACATCCATGGAGGAAATAAAACACCATTGTTGGGTGTTGATTACAGTGATTTTGAAAGATTATGAAAACAAATATAAAATAGATATGAAATTTTGTTTCAGATATGGTATTTTCTTTGATAATTGAGATTTTGTTTTATATCAAACAGTTTTAAAAGAGGCGATTAAAAGATTGTGTCGAGTCTGTGTTAATGAACAGTCTATCTCATTTAGACAAAGCAATTTCAGATCAGATGTCAAGAAGCATCAAATATACAAGGCAACATTAATAAAACACCATACATGTATTTACAAAGACACGTATATGCTAACAGATTTTTTGGAAGATTTTTACGTAAATAAACAAAAAAAAAACGCAAAACAAGATTTAATTCAATGCCCGTTTCTTTATATCTAACATTGAGAAAAGTGTCAGAAATCTTCAAAAAATATTGACAAAATATGAAAGAAAAATAGTCCAGCGTGTTTACAAACATGCATTTCTAATTGACAGATTAATGCATAGAAGAATGTGCTTTCCCAAACCACGCAACCAGTATTGCTGCCTTTAGAGTTCATGCGATTTCCTCAGTTTTTGTTTTTTTGCCCTGATTTGTGAATGAATGGATCTATGACAGTCAAAAGCTACATTGTGAAAAACGGGAAATGAAATAGTTCTAAATGAAAAACGCAAAAACGGAAGATATATACGTATCAAACAATCAACTCTAAAGGAATGTTTAATTGCAATCTTCAATTTTTATGTTAAGTTTTGTTGAAACTATTGTCCAACGCTGCATGAATAATTGTTCAGCCATTTTAAAAACAAGTTTTTCAATTGACAATAAGAAGATTTGTAAACTTGAATTTTCGGAATGAAAAAGTAGCAACCATAGCCATTTAAGGTTGGAGTTGAACGCACCTGCCACGTGCGGGGTCCCGTCTCACAATCTCCGTCTTGAAAGACTAGTGGTACAGTTGTTGAACTACTTAGACCACTCGGCCACCAAGTTCCCGTTTAGTTGACAATTTACAAGCATTCATAGTCGCCAGATAAGAACAAGTCAGCGTATAATGATTATGGTGACAGCTTTCAAGTGCATAGGCTATCTTACCTGAACAGAGCGATTTAAGTTCAGATGTTAGGAAGAAAAAGATTTACTAGCCTGTATTTTGAAAGCACCGTATTAATTTTTCTTGTAAACGACAGGTTTATGTTTGTCTTTCTCGGAAATTTAAAAGCTAAATCAAATGCAAAAGCAATGTTAAACTCGATACATATTTCTTTTTTTCTCATTTTGACGAAAGTGATAGACATCTTTGAACCATTTGACAAAATCTGAAGCAAAAAATTCTTCAGCTCTTTCACAAACAGGTATTTCAAATTGACCGTCAGAAATTATTGAAGCTTGAAGTTTCATCAGATAAATTACAAACACAAGAGCATATATAACTGCATTGTGAGTCAAGAATTTTTAAAAGCTTAATTGAAATATAAAGAAATGTTAAGAAAGTCAGTCACAAATAATCCACTGAAGCAGTAATAATTCCATACCAGTTTTTTTTTATCCAAAATTAAAGAAAGTCCCGAGAATTGTCAAAAATATTGATCAATTCTGAAAAAAATTAAAAAAATTCGGCATTTTTGTAAACAGATATGTCAAAGTATTTGAATATTGGTAAACTACTTTTGCCTAAATGTCCAATTAACTGTAAGGAAATATGTAAACAGAAAATTGTAAAAAGGTTTCGAGCGAACAGTTTTCGCGGTCTTAGATATTTAGATATCAGAATAGTTGTCTATTTGGCAAATTTACCGATTGTGTGTCATATTCCAGATTAGGACATTTTTACTGATTAAAGTTTTGCATGGCTGATAATGCATGCATATCAATAGGTGCTTACCTTGTGGACGCAGCCGCCAGTTTCGCTCTTTTTGAGTTCATGCCATTCCCTTAGTTATTGTTTTTTTACTCTGATTTATCTCCTTAATATATGTATTAGATTTGAAGATCGGTAAATTACTGTTGCCTCTAATTTAGCAAATATAACTGCATGTGAATATTTGAAAATAGTTGAAAAGTAAAATGAAGATATCTACGTGAAAAACACTTAGCTGAAAAGCAATGTTAAATTGTACATACATTGTGTTTTTCAAAATTGAAAGATACCTCCTTAAATTGTTAAACATATTTTTCGAAATCTGAACGTAAAATGGTTTACAACGTTCTTAGTGATAAGTTATTTCCTTTAACCGTCAGAAAAAAATGTAAACTTGTAGTTTCAGACACTACACTATAAAATCAATCGTGCATATAAAAGTGCATTGTTAAGTGTGGATTACAATTTTTAAAAAGCTTCATGAAAACAAAAATACATTTTGAACATTTGTTTGATATATGGTATTTTTTTTGACAATTTAAATTTATTTATACTTTACAGAGAAAAAGAGCGGTAAAAAAAAATTCAGGTGAGTCTAACCAAGTGTTGAGTCTATCTTATTAAAAAAAAAACATTTTAAGATCAGATTTTAGTAGGCATCAATTATACTAGCCTGCATTTCGAAAGTTTGTATTGAAATATCCAATTGCAAAACTTATGGCAAACACAAGAAAAAATAACCATATATGATACCGTACACTAAAGGCAAGCTAATTGCTTACAACATTTTGGTCTGGAGGTTAAGGAAGGTCTCAGAAATTATCGAAAATAACGAACATCTCTGACTCCAAATTGGTTCCACATTGTTTTAAACAGGTATTTAAGATATTTGAAGTTCATACGATTACTACTTTTTTTATTCCTGTATTTTTATACTCATGATGGATTTATGAGATTTGAATTGCGATAAACTAATGTTGCTTCTAATTAAGCGATCAGAACATCATTGTGATTAAAGGATTTCAATGTTTTAAAAGAAAAAAAAAGATGTCAACGTGAAAAGTAAAATTACTGAACAACCGTACTCCAAGGAATATTCAAAACGGAAAATCCCTTATTAAATGGCAAAATCAAAAGAACAAACACATCAAACGGATGGAAAACAACTGCCATATTCCTGACTTGGAACAGGCAGTTCCTTATGTAGTAAATGGTGGATTAAACCTGGTTTTATAGCTAGCTAAACATATCACTTGTATGACCGTCGCATAGAGTTCCCATAATAAACCTCTTAAATTCAAAAGCAAATTGAATGTTTCATTACAGCTTTTCTGAAATTCCCCAAAAGTCATTTAAATCATGAAATATATTGACCAGATTGAAACGAAAATAGTGAAGTGATTTTATCAAAAAGTTCTTTAAATTAACTGTTAGAAAATATGCAATTCTTTAGTTTAAGACAGTAAATCGTAATCTCAAATGAACAAAAAAACCAAACTGTGTTGTCATGTGTGGATAACAAGTTTTTTTTTAAATAGTAAAAAGAAATAATTCTCTTACATTTTGCAAATTTGTTTCAGACATGGTATATTTTATTTTGGTAATTAACATTAATTATTTTTTAACAGGGAACAAGAGTCGACAAAAAAGGTTATAGTGAGTATTTCAAAATAAGCAAAGAAATTTAAGATCAGATGTTAGGAAGCATTAACTAAAGTAACATGTCTTTAGAAATCACTTTTTTGTTTTTTAAAACAACAAGTATATGCATATGCTTTTTGATTTTTACGTGAAAAAAACGTGAAAGTTAAACATAAATGCAACGTTTAACTCGATTCCAGTTTTTCGCTATCGTCAATTCAGGTAAGTTCTTTAAATCTTTAAAAATATTTCAAACTCTAAAGGAAAGATGCTTCATATCTTTAAACAATAGTTATTTCTAATCCACGGTTAGATATTATATAAGCTTGAATTTTCAGACCATTATCAATAAGACATAACCAGTAACCACATATACACGAAACTGCATGAAACTAAAAAACATGGTTATAATTCTTAGCCAAGTTTTAGGCAATTGCAATAGAAGAGAATACAGAAAACACATGCAAGCAACGTTAAATACATATGAGTTTTTTTTATCTGGAATTGTAGGAAAGTCACGGACATTTTTTTTGTTATAGATTGACCAATTCTAAACGAAGAATTGGACCGCACTTTTATCAACATGCATTACAAAGTATCAGAATATCGGTGAATGAATATAAACTTCCCTTAGATATTGCCTTCAGATTTGAATATCGGTAAATTAATGTTGCCTCTAATTTAGCAAGTAGAACTGCATTGTGAATATTTGAGAAACATAGTTGAAAAGTAAAATAAAGATATCTACGTGAAAAACACTCAACGGAAAAGTAATGTTAAATTGTACATACATTGTGTTATTTGAAATTGAAACATACCTCCTTAAACTGTTAAACATATTAACGAAATGTGAACGTACAACTGTTCAACGCTTTAAGTAATAAGTTATTTCCATTAACCGTCAGAATAAAATGTAAACTTGTAGTTTCAGACACTACACTATAAAATCAATCGTGCATATAAAAGTGCATTGTTGGGTGTGGATTCAAATTTTGAAAAAGCTTTATGAAAACAAAAATACATTTTGGACATTTGTTTAATATATGGTTGTTTCTTCGACAATTTAAATTCATTTATATTTTACAGAGAAAAAAACGGTAAATATCAGTTATGGTGAGTCTTGCCAAGTGTACAGTCTATGTTATTTAAAAAAGAATTTGCATAAATTAAGGCAAACACAACCAAAAAAAAAAACAGGTACGATACATATAACACACTAACAGCAAGTTAATTGCATACCACTTTTTAGTCCGGAGTTTCAGTAAGGTCTCGGAAAATATTGAACATAACGAACCTCTCTGACTGAAAATTGGTTCCACATTTTTATAAACAGGTATTTAAGACATTTGAAGTTCATACGATTACTACTTTGTTTTACCTGTATTTGTATACTAGTACAAATGATGGATTTAGGAGATTTGAAATGCGATAAACTACTACTTCTAATTAAGCAATCAGGCTATCATTGTGATTAAAAAGTAAAATAACAAAAACACCGAACTCCAAGGAAAATTCAAAACAGAAAGTCCTTTATCAAAACAATGGCAAAATCAAACTCTCAAATACATCAAACACATCAAACGAATCGAAAAACAACTGTCATATTCCTGACTTGGTACAGACATTTCCTTATGCAGTAAATGGTGGATTAAACCTGGTTTTATAGCTATCTAAACATCTCACTTGTATGACAGTCGCATAGAGTTCCCATAATAAACCTATTAAATTCAAAAGAAAATTGAACGTTCGTTACAGCTTTTCTGAAATTCCAAAAAAGTCATTTAAATCGTGAAATATATTGATCAGATCTTAACGAAAAATAGTGCAGTGATTTTTTCAAAAAGCTATTTAAATTAACTGTTAGAAACTATGCAATCTTGAAGTTTGATTTAATTGACAGAAAGTCGTAAACTCAAATGAAATGATGAAACATGTGTGAATAACAACTTTAAATAAAAGAAATATTTCTCTTACATTTTGAACATTTGTTTCAGGCATGGTATTTTGTTTTGGCAATATACATTAATTATGTTCTAACAGGGAACAAGAGTCGACAAAAAAAGGTTATAGTGAGTATTTCAAAATAAATCAAGAAATGTACGATCAGATGCTAGGAATCATAAACTAAAGAAGCATGTCTTTAGAAAACACTGTATTCTTTTTTTTTTTAATGTAAAACAACAAGTATATGCTTACCTTTTATGCTTTTTACGTAAAACAAAAAACCAAATAAAACATAAATGCAACGTTAAACTCGATACTAGTTTTTCGCTATCATAAGTTGAGGATAGTTCGTTAAATCGTTAAATATATTGTCAAAATCTGAAGGAAATATGATTCATATCTTTAAACAATAGTTATTTCCAATTCACGGTTAGAAATTATATCAGCTTGAACTTTCAGACCATTGTCAAGAAGACAAAACCAGTAAGACAATATATATGAAACTGCATGAAACTAAAAAATATGTTTATAATTCTTAGCAAAGTTTTAGGGAATTACAATGGAAGAGAATACAAATACAGAGGAAAAATGAAATAACCAAAATACCGAACTCCAAGAAATGTTCAAAACGGAAAGTTGCTTATCAAATTGCAATATTTAAAGCTCAGACACATCAAACGAATGGAAAACAATTGTCATATTCCTGACTTGGTACAGGCATTGCTTATTTAGAAAGTTGCAGATTCAACCTGGTTTTATAGCTAGCTAAACCTCTCATTTGTATGACAGTCGCATAAAACTCTATCAAATTGACAACAGTGTGCGAGCAAAACAAACAGACATAACAGGTAAAAGTGTCAAAAATTGGTAACCAGCAGTCCACATTGTGTTATAATCTAAATCACTATAAAATAAACAACTATGTCAACAAAGACAAAACACAACACAACATAGAAAACCAAAGACTGAGCAACAAGAACCTCCTCAAAAATCTGGGGTGATCTCAGGTGTTCCGGAAGAGTAAGAAGATTCCCTTATACATGTGGCGCCTGTCGTGTTGCTCATGATAGTACCAACCCGATGATCAGTCTAATTCGGTAGGTCACATTCGGGGGAAAAGGAGACGAGATTGAAGTTACGACAATTGGAACATATCTGTTGTCATCTGTGAAACGAATATTCCATAACGGTCAACCAACTCGTGATGGCGTCTGTAAACTTTTACGAAAAGACGATTTCAACTTTACCACTTGGAACTCCAACCCTCCTTCAAGGAAATCATGATAGGAAATACAAGTCCTGGAATATAGTATCAACTTGGAGATATAGTTTCTCAGTCTTTAGTTTTCTGTGCTGTATTTCGTATACTGCTGATAGTCTTTTGGTCTTTTTAGTTTTTTGCCATTGCGTTGTCATTTTTTTCGACTTATGAATTTGAATGTCGCTTTGGTATCTTTTGCATCTCCTTTGCAAGATACTATTGTGTAACTTTGGGAATGTTTTGTATGAACTGTTGCATATGATTACAAAAACGAATCTGGCAGCAGGGGTGCTCCATAAGTACCCATGGGAACACCGACTAACGGTTGAAATTGCAATCCACTAACGCAAGAATTATGTTGTCGATCAAAAAGTCCAGCATTTGGATGATATCATCTTTGATGTATCTGATATTTGAATCAGCGCAGTTCTTTACAATGTAAAATTGTACCATGACCTAAAACAACAAATGCATATCTACGATTTCCCTTTTTGAAGTTAATGCTCTTTTTAATGAGATAATGTATTCAAACTTTCGATTGAGCTTTGAAAATAGTATTGCAAAGCGTAGAAAAATCCACAGTTTTGCTTTAACCACAAAATTTAAAGATTATGATTACAGATTTTGTAGTAGGCCTTTAATATTTTAAGAATCCAAATCTGATTGACACCGCTGTTTGAATATACCTCATTGCTAATATTCGTTCTTTATAGGTTTGTGTGAAGTTTATAATTAGGAATCTAGTATAAAATCGGGAGATTTTCATCATTATTTGTTCTGTTATTACCAAAGGAGAGAAGAACGGATTTATGATTGCTTAAATCTGACTTTTGTGAATGGTTTATATGTGATGGGTATATGTGATATTCGAAGTTTTGCTGTGAATTCCAATTCGTTAGTGAGACATTTTTTTGCTGGAACAACATAAAATTTGTCGTGAAGATGATGAGAAAGTAATTACCTTCTGGCGTCTTAAAAGGGTTAGAAACCCGCGTGTTCATCGTACATTGTAGAATTTGAATGTGCTTCTGAATGCATCATGGATCAGCTTTGATCCCGTTGGAAAGGTGTCCAGTTTTGGATCAGCTGACTCGCACTTTACTCATTTTCTTGTAAAGTCCGCAACTGCATCCATTCGCAACCTGAAATTTTTCTTTTGGTTGATGGGCTAAGAAATTCTGTATTTTTGATCTTTGGATTACAACTCTCTTAGTAATTAAACAATGCCAATGTCTCCTGTGCATGTAAGTATCTTGCTAATACAATAGTTTCATTCATCTTATAATGAACATCTCTTTCAACGGTGTTTAAAACATTTGAAAATAAAGGCAACAGTAGTATACCGCTGTTCGAAATTCATAAATCGATTGAGAAAAAAACAAATCCGGGTTACAAACTAGAACTGAGGGAAACACATCAAATATAAGAGGAGAAATACGACACAACAGAAACACAACATTAAAATGTAACACACACAGAAACGAACTATAATATAAACAAGAATATATTAGATATTATGTTTGTCAACTGTTATAGTTTGATGGTAAATGGTAAATCGTCCTATTTAATTCCTCTGCATCTACTCGAAGATTATCTTAAAACATAAAAAGCTGCTTCTTACAACAAATTGACTTCAACGTTGACAAAGGAACATGAAAAACTTTAAATAAAATATGATTAATGTAATGCATCGCACTTCAGCGTTTACACCAACGGACTTTGGTGTAGCTATCAACAAGATAGCATCACAATGCCATCATTTCATTTCAGCGTAATCAAAACCGTGAAATCATCGAACAGACAGTTTCAAACAATATATTGTGACAGCAGTTTAGCTGCCTTGTGAATTGTATATTATGAAAAGTTATATATGAAAATACGGGAAAAATTACTTTAGAAATTTGTATTAGGTATGGTATTTTCTTCATGCAATCATCATCCATTTATATTAATGAGTTATACACAGCAGACAATTTCAGTTGTGGTGGGTTTTTTCAAATGTACTGGCTTTTTTTTTGAAATAGCAAATTAAGATGAAATCTAAGGCAACATCAAATAAACTATGAAAATAAGGAGCAGTGGTATGATTGCCAAGGAGACAACTATCCACCAAAGTCCAAATGAAGTGGATGTAAGTAATTATCAACCACCATAAAGCCAATAACAACTAATAAAAAAATAATGTATCTAAGACTGTTTTTGATATGTATAAAAGGTAATATTTAAGGTTATTTTGAGTAGTACACTTACATTGGATCTTTTTTGTCTAGGTCACATAAGATAATTATTTTATATTTGGACGGACGTAATCATGAGGAATAAAAAAGGCAAACAAGTTCATAAAACACTTAACCAAAAATCAAGTCTAAGCCAAGAGAAACCAACAAAAAACTGTGGTGAGCTCGGTAGCCCTTGAAAGGTACGCAGATCCTGTTCAACCAGTGGCACCTGTCGTGATACTGTTTGGTGATGTTACAATCGAGGAAAAGAGGACGGGATTGTGGTTAAAAGTATGCTATACAAAATCACCACAGTAAGATAAAATGTAAGGCTACATCAAACGTACTTACCTGTACAACGGTATCGAGGAACCATTGTATTACAGTCAGTGTAACGTAAAAATTAACAACACGAATGATGACCGATCTATAAGTTACTGATTAAAATGTAACCAACCGGTACAGAAAATAATGTATAATCACATTAACGGTAAGTGGTGCACAAGGCCAACATATATAACAATCCAAAGTATAACACAAACGTCGAAGAGCTGATTAAACCAACAACGACTAACAGTAAAGCCGAACCCGGACAAAGAATAAAAAAGAGCTCTGCATGAGAGAAATATTTCCTTAATTCTAATTGATTTCGGGATTTAATAACATTAAATTCAGCAAATATTACAATATCTGTATTTTCAAAAGGTACAGAACCACTGTCTACTTGGCTGAAGATATCATAAGAGACCAACAGTCCACCAGCAGACGTATTGACCTAGTGGTAGTTATAACATTAACAATACCAATGTTATTGCACCAGATGCGCATTTTAACAATTAATGTCTTTTCATTTTTGTTCAAGCCCAACACAAACGTTGAAGAGCTGATGTAAGTTGTATTGCAATTCAAAACTTTAAGATCAACATTTTAAAGAATTATTCACAATGCCGTTATTTTTGCTGATCAATGGCTAAACAATGTACAAGCAAAATTAAGTGACTTGTGAGTTTTATTTCAACGTAAAAAAACAAATAAACGCAAACGCAAATAAACATACTATACCAGTTTTTAATATGCAATTTGAGAAAAACTTAGGAAATGGTGTAAAAAATTGACCGAAAATAATTGACTGAGTTGGAACGACATATTTTTCAGCGCTTTTATGAACAGGTATTTCCGACTGACCACCAGAAAATATGTTATGCTGCATTTTCAAACTTTAAATGAGAAAAATAGTTAAGCCTGCATTGGAGGTTGTAGCTTATATATTTTTTTTAAACGACAGATCCCTCGATTGAACGACAACAATATGTAAACAAGAATTTAAAAAAAAAATTTTGTAAACCTATTTTAGCAAAATTAACTGTCTTATGAGTTTTATTTTAACGAAAAAACAAATAAAACGCAAAAGCAATTAAACATACATTCCAGTTTTTTATTCTGCACTCAAGAAAAACTTGACAGAAACGGAATGACAAACTGTTCAGCGCTTTTATCAACATGTAGTTCAGACTAATCGCCAGAAAATATGGAAACATGCATTTTCAGACAATTAATGCAAAACGTCAGAAAATATGGAAAAACAAAAACTTGTAAATCCATTTTAGCAAAATCAACTGTCTTGGGAGTTTTTTTTACATGAAAACGAAATAAAACGCAAAAGAAATAAACTAACCATACCAGTTTTGGATCTGTGATTCGAGGAAAACTTAAGAAATCGTGTAAAAAAATATGACAGAAAATAATTGATTGACGCTGAACGACAAATTGTTCGGCGGTTTTATCAACAAGTAAATGCGACTGGCCGACAGAAATATAAAAAGCTGCAAGTTCAGACAATAAAATGGCAAACTATTTGAGTAAATGAAGGTGCATTGGAAATATTGGTTTGCAACAGATCTTTCAAAAAGATAGTCAGAAAATATGTAAACAAACAGTTTCAAGCAAAAATTTGCATGAGTGCATTTTTAACGTAAAAAACAAATGAAACGCGAAAGCGATTCTTCTAATTACTCTCTTCGGCTCTTCGAAGATGTAACATATAACATTCATTTCCCGAGGAACCTCAGCCGTTGTCAGTTTATTTTCGACTTATGAGTTTAGATGTCCCTTTGGTATCTTTCGCCCCTCTTTTAAAAGAGGACAAAATCCTGACCTATGGTATGACGTAGCTATACTTTTAAATACTGCGGCTGTTACCTGTGCCAATCATATTATTTTCAGATCAAAGAGGTGTCTAACTCGTTCTAATCTGTGACGACGTCCAGAATTTTTAAATTTGGTAAAACTGTAACGTTGTTCCAGTTAAAATTGTTTGATAAACACTAAATAACTTTAAAAGTTATCCAAGTTGGTTGAATACAACATATTTTTCGTCCTCTTTTCTTATCTTGTTTAAGGTTCATGTGGACCCTTTGGCTAAAATGGATGCGTTTTCACCTCAAAATTTACTTTGAGTACGGACTAAAATATGCATCCGGAAAAGTTTTAAGGCATTGCATGCCCTAGATAAATAAAATTCAAATGCATTTTATGTTTTAGAAAATTTTAAAATTAACTGGATTTTGCTGTACACTTTTTTCGTCCCTGCAGATCCTCCTGAATATGCATGAAATGTTTGCCACTGGACGTTAAACAACCAACAATCAATCAATCAATCGCCCCTGCAGAAGATGATAAAATTGACAAACAGTTGAGTTTCACTTGATATGGTCCACTCAGTCACACAGTTTAAATCACCAATTATTGTCAGGTTACTATTGTCCCTCTATTGTCCATGTCAATCAATACAGTTCACTTCAATTAGTCAATCAATACAGTTCACTTCAATTAGTCAATCAATGCAGTTCACTTCAATTATTCAATCAATACTGTTCACTTCAATTATTACTTGTGGGGAAGTTCTCAAACCTTTTTCCCAACTTTGTTTATTTCGGCACCTTCTGGAGGAATGAAAAAATGTGCACTGCAAAATCCAGTTAAGTTTTTAATTTTCTAAAAAATAAAATGTATTTGAATTTTATTTATCTAGAGCATGCTTTGCCTTAAGATTTTTCCAGATACTCAGGTTTGTCTGTACTCTGTTAACTTTTAAGTGAAAATGCAGCAATTTTAGCCAAATGGTCCACATAACCTTAAAAAATCCACGTGTACTGTAGTGTAAAACACACAGACCTGTGCTGATCCATTGTCACGCAATCAATGGTGGACCGAACGTGTTCACCTTGCAATACATTTAGACGTCTTTTCGTCTAAATGAATTTTCGTAATTACTTTTGCACGTAATGAATCTCTATCATTGAAAGGTGAGTACTTAAACCATTGTCGTGACGTCAGCCTATTCATTTACCGTGGATGCTTTTTCTAGAATCAACGCTTCCTAAATCTGTCGCTCAAATGGACTCACCAAATTATATTCCATTGTTTCCTTTGTGTGCTTAATTTCATTCAGTTTGAATTGGCTAATTTACTGATTTCTGTTCACTAATGGAATTAATTCAAAAACTTACCTTTAATTTTTGTAATTTTAATATGCCTTCACTGGGAAACGAACCCCTCCTTGAAATCTGTTATGTGTGACTGACATTAACACAATGACGAAACCTCTCGGCTACCAATGGATTGCAATTTAAATGTCTATTTTCATATATATAAATCAACAACTGATACACATTGGTACAACGGACACACAGGGATTGTACCTTTATGTATATTTTCTCCTTTATTTTTGGATTATTAATAGCTATTTCACATATTTATATAATTTGTTAATTTTTGTTTTATAAATATAGTCTGCTTTCATCTGTTTTACTACATATCTTTACAAATGTTTATTCGCAAATCCTTATCCAAGTAAATCGTGATGTGCCTAGAATTAGGCTTCTTGATAAAATTTTCGGTAGCATACTTATCATATGTACTTAGAATTAAGTTCGAATATGTCTTATTTTGTAAATTACGAATGATATTCAGATGCCTGATAATTTAAAGATAGACGTGTTATGTTATATTTGTATTTCTCTAACTAATTAATTGTGAACTTAGATTTATTAATGCATCGTTGAACATGATAACATGGTTATTTAATCTCACTTACGATACCTTCTAATTAAGAAAAGACATTAATTATGAAAAGACATCACCACAATAGTTTAAATTAAAGATACAATGGATAAGCGTTGATTCATGAAAAACAAAACATTCGTCTCCGGGCTCATGGTTTCTTTTTCAAGAATCAACACTCATTCATTGTATCTAAAATACATAATGTACGAAGATGTACTCGTATTCCTGTCATAATGTACCGACGTAGTGACGTACAATTTACAACCAAATAGAAAATATATTTAATATTAGTATTCTCACAAAATGTTGTGAATAAAATACACGCGATGAGCATACACTATATATTGAAACGATCAAGAATATGTAAAGAATATGTATATGCATTTCTGTAATATGCAAAGCCAGTTTAGGCTAAGCTCTTAGTGAGATAATAAGGCTGTGTTACAGTGGAAAATTTAAAGAAATAATATAAATTATGTTATTGATATTTAGATTGTGTAAATATTGAGTGGCCAGTGAAAAATTACCGCGGCAAACTTTACGAAAAAGGGGTAGTTCAAAGTAAGTTCAAGGGAGAACATTTGTTCGTGTAGTCGTTTAGAATCTGCCCTTTAGGCATTTAATGAATAGTTGCTTGCAATGAAAATAAGATGCCACTGACCAACAGTAGATGTTGATAAGGTAGAAACAGAAATTTGAAAATATTAGTAAAACAATTATTATTGTTTTAAAAATTCTGCAACACTGCAGTATTTTAATGACAAACTTTTGTTGAATATTTCTGTACATAAAAGTAATCTCATGTCTTTTACTATAATTAAGTAACAAACAATAATCTTGAAGATTTAGATCTTGTCAAATAATAAAGCAGATAAGCATTGCTCATTGTTAATATAAGTTCTTTGCTATTAAAGAAGAAAATAGCTATGGTTTAAGAATAAGAACAATATGATAATAATGTTGCAAAATGTGAAAAATGTGATGCAATATATCAAAATATTCTATTTGATATTTAATATCAAATAAGAAAGATCAAAGGATCTTCCGAAAATTTATATGACTGACATGCATTTGTTAGATGTAAAATCCTTTTTCAAGGATAATCTTATGATGTTTGGCATAACATGCATAATGTGGAAGGAAATAACAATAATTCCATTGAATGGTTTTCTTGAAATTTATTAATGTAGTTTTCAGAATATAAATAAAATTATTTAACTTTTCAAAGTAACATTCATGTACATTTATTACTAGATTTTTATGAATGATATCCTCATATAGTTGAAAATAAGACAATAGAGTTTTAACTCTTATATCTTGACAATGTTATAACATTTATAATAACTATTACAAACAAAGTCTTAGAATAGATAAAATAGTAACTCTTTTCTTAAGAAACAGTTTGAATTTATTGTTGTCAAATCACAACACAATTGTAGACCGTAATATTATTTTGTCTACAGGGTTTCAGTCAGAGTGAACATCTTTTCACTGTGAATTATAGTTTGAGATACAGCTATAGGAATTTATTAGATTCTGCCAAGAAAGGAAGATGCTATTCAATAGTCCCTTTCTTTACTTTTGCGGAAAAGAGTTTATAAATGTGCTATACACACACAATTTTGTGCTTATTTTGATAAGACAAATTGTGTCTTACAATCTCAGTAAATTACTAGATATGATAAGCTATAATATATTTATAAACTTGCAAATGGCAGCAGACATGAATTCTCAAGTAGTATGTAGAACATGCAGGAAGATGTTTCTCACACCATGCAAATTTTGCTTTGATGTTGATCATGAATTATCTGACATATTTTCCTTTTAACAAAATAATATTATAACTTACCACTGACTTTATCCATAAATAATGTTTTATGTGACTAATTGTTGCCTTGTTTAGGCTAAATCATACCTTTATAAACAATTGTATAACAGTGTTTAAGGAACTTCTCCAGCACATTATTGTTATATCAGACATCAAATACCGAATAATGTAATATGATATGAAATTATATAGACTTTATAAAGTTTTTATCATGATTATATTGCATCTATATTACTTAAATTCATGATGCAAATTAAAAATAGAAAATGGTAATCTTTTAAGACTCCATGAACTTGAAAATAGAATTGCTATATTGATGCTTTTGTATCATCAGTTTAGAATTGACAGATTCATATATATATATATATATATACATGTATATATTTTAATGTTCCCTCAAGAAATGCCATTTTAAAAAGTATTCTTAGCATTGAAGTTGCAAAACAAATTCAAACTTAGATTATT